AGCATTCTGTGCTGTCTGTTTGTGCCCCCCTATCCCCGTGTCTGCCCCCTGTCCGGCCCGGTGACAAATCAATACATAATTAAATAAATAATAAAACAGAGAAAGGAGTATATTTATACTCTCTTGTTAAAGTAAAATCTGTCTGGCACAATATGGTATCCAGGTCATCATACTCTATACAAGGCTGCTGGGCAGGACAGGTTAAATAAAAAAAATTAAAAAAATTAAACAAATATCTATAGACAAAGCATTCTGGTACACCATGGAAGTAGTATTTTATACTCAGTGAGCTTGCTTTACAGGATGTAAAGGAGAATGTTTTACCATTCAATAATTATTATCTGTGTGATAAATACTTATTTGCAAGATAATGTTATCTTGTGTTTCCTGAAATCCAACAGACACCAACATCTTGTCTGCTTGAATTTCTCTCTGACAAGTTTCCATCAAAGTGACATCATGGCATCTGCAGCACACGGTAATTCTGGTGACACATATCAATATATATCACAGATGCAGTTAGTAAGAACACATTAAAACCACGGCGACCGGGTAGAATAAAAGTTACTGTGCTAAACATACTTTAAGCCAGCTGCAAGATGGAAGAAATTAACGATGTTGACATTCACGTTATGCATGAATTACAAATTTAAATGGAAAGCAGATAACAATGTGCTCAATGTCATTGTGGAAATTTGTAATGCTCTTTGTTGTTGTTTTACAGCATTTGAACTCAGGATCGTGGTGTTTGGAAAGAGTCAGAATAAAAAGACAATGCTAACCAACTTCATGACAGAGAGGAAAGATTTTCTTTTTCTGAAAATGTCGACTCAATGTACAGTCTCTAAAGGAGAGTGTAACAAAATATCCTTAACGATGGTGAAAACCTCAGACGTCTTCAGTCTGCCTGAGGATAAAGTGAGACATGAAATGAAAAAGTGTGTTGCTCTTTGCCCCCTTGGACCAAATGTTCTGCTGCTGTTAGTGAAGCCTTCTGATTTCAGTGAAGAGGATAGACAAAAATTAAAGTTCATTCTGAGCTTCTTTGGTCAAGATGCCTTTAAATACTCGATGGTCATCTTTACACATAGCGAGGAAGGAAAGTATTCTGCAGTAGATAAACTCACACGAGACTGCAGACAAAGGCAGCACAGAGTTAACTTCGACAGAAAAGATCCATCAGAATCTGATCTTAAAGAACTCATTGAAAAGATGGCCAAGTGTGGGACAACAGGGGACGACATCTAAACTGTACTGGAGGGGATGATCCCATGACAGTATCTGTAACTTCCTCTCAACTTAGTGTTGTGTGGGAGATTTGGAACCTGGAAGACTTTGGCAGCCAATGCCATTCTGGGAGAAAGAAAGTTTGGTCCACCTGCTGACTCAGAGTGTGTCAGAAATCAGGCAGAGGTGTGTGGATGTCGGGTTTCTGTGGTGGAGCTGCCTGCTTTGTATGGAAAACCTCAGGAGACAGTCAAGAGGGATACATTTAGGTGTTTCTCCCTCTTTGATCCTGAGGGCATCCATGCCTTCATCCTGGTCCTACCTGTGGGTCCCCTCACTGATGGAGACAAGAAGGAGTTAGAGACCATCCAAAACACATTCAGCTCTCGAGTGAATGACTTCACCATGATTCTGTTCACTGTGGAGGCAGATTCTGCAGATCCAGCTGTTGTTAGCTTTCTAAAAGAAAACAAGGACATCCAGGGGCTTTGTCAGAGCTGTGGAGGACGCTACATTGTCATCAACATCAAGGACAAGCAGCAGGACTCTACGGTGTTGCATACTGTGAAAAAGATGACAGATGCGGGATCCAGATGCTTCACAAAACAAATGATTGTCAAGCCTCGACAGATAAAGGCTAGTTGTAAGGCTCAACTGGAGATGGCAGGACATGATCAGAATCAGAGCAGAGAGCATATCAGGATAGCGCTGATTGGGAAGACTGGTTGTGGAAAAAGTGCCACTGCAAACACCATTCTGGGCAAAGAATGCTTCAAATCTAAAGCCTGCATGAAGTCAGTGACCGCGCAATGCCAAAAAGCCAAGGGAGAGATTGATGGAAGGCCTGTCGCTGTGGTCGACACCCCCGGCTTGTACGACACGACACTGTCCAACGATGAAGTTATACAGGAACTTGTGAAATGCATCAGCCTGTTGGCTCCAGGACCTCATGTACTTTTACTGGTGGTGCAGATCGGCCGCTTTACACAAGAGGAAAAAGAAACTGATCAAGCGGACTTTTGGCAAGAAGTCAGGAGACTTCATCATTGTTATATTCACATACAACATATCAAACAATGGAGAGTTACATGGAAGAAGAAAGTGACGGCTTTGTCAAAAAACTGATTGCTGACTGTGGAGGAAGATACCTGGTCTTCAATAACAAAGATCAAACAAATAAAACACAAGTCAGACAGCTGTTGAACTATGTAGAAACAATGGGGAAGAAAAATGGAGGTAGCTACTACACCACAGCGATGTTCCAAGAAGCTGAGGCAGCAATACAAAAGGAAGTGAAGAGGATCCTGAAAGAGAAAGAAAGAGAGATGCAGAGAGAGAAGGAGGAGCTAGAAAGAAAACACGATGAAGAAATTCAAGCAAAGAAGAAAAAGACCGAAGAAGAAAGAGCAGAGAGAGACAAAAAACTGAAGGAAAAAGAAGAGTACATCAACAAAGAACAGGAGAAAAGGAGGAGAGAAGAGGAAAAGAGGAAAGAAGACAACAGAAATTCAAAAATGCAAGAAGAACAACTGCGACAGCAGTGGGAACAGCAACTCCAAGCTCTGGAGAACAAAATAAAATCTGAATCAGAAAAAAACGTAACTGCTGACAGAAAGTTGATGCAAAATAGAGAAGACATAAGACGAGAACGAGAGGCTTGGGAGAAAGAACGAAAAGAATGGTGGGAGACACGATATCGAGAAGATCAACAGAGACAAGAGGAAGAACAAGCACAACTGAAAAGGCTCAGAGAAGAATATGAGCAGGAAAGAAAGGAATATGAAAACAAAAGAAAAGAAGATAGACTCAGAAGAAAAGTAGAGGAAAGAGAATGGAAAGTGGCACAACAAAACTATGAGAAAAGAGTGGAGGAAATGAAAAGAAAAAATGCAGAGGAGGCCAGAAGGCAAGCTGAAGAATTCAATGAGTTCATAAACAAATATACGACAGACTTTGCAGCTCTGATGGAAAAGCACGACAAGGAAATGGAGGACATGAAGCAAAAGCAACAAAAAAACAATGACCTCATTATGAAAAACCTGCTCATGAACTAAGCGTATGAGAAAGACTTCAACAGACTGAAGAAGAAACAAGAACAAGAAATGAATGAGCTTCAACAGAATCTGTATGAAGAAAACGCAGAAAGTCTGGATGAAGAAATCAATGAACTACAGAAAAAACATGAAGAAGAAGTCAATGCATGGGTACAAGAAAATGCAGAGAAAGCCACAGCAGATAAGGCTTACAGCATTTTATGAGATTCTTTTATCTAAATGTCACAACAGCAGCAGAGCTTTAGTTGTGACATTGTGACAGCTTTTGGTTTTGAAGAGTATAATGTTTGCCTATCGATTATGTACATTTGATGCTTTTTCGGTACTTACTAAACAGAACTTACATTACTCCATCTAACCAAGGTTTGATATACAAATACTGTATTGTAGTAATAAACAAATACTTTCAGACATGTCTGTTCTTAAAAGTCTGTTAATCAATCTTTTTTTCTTTTGAAAGTTAAGTCGTTAAGTCCTTATAACACAGACAAGATACTGCTGAATAAATATTGTCTAATCACAGAATATCAGTGAAAGATCACACACTGTCCCACTGTCAAACTGTCAAGTGCGTGAGGGCTCTCTCACGGACATTTTGAGCCCTTTTTAGTAAGTCCGGGGTATAGGGGTGTGGAAAATAACTGATGTTTTAGTTGTTTTAGTATTTTTGTTTGTTTTGTTAGAATTTTGCTTACTAGTGTAAGTTCATAATAATTGATTTTAATATTGTAAATGAGTCACACTGTGAGTCACTCAGTTTTATGATGATTTTTCATTTATACATTTTTTGTAAGGAGAGGTGCTTTTATTGGCCGTTTCTCAATGAATTCACTACTTAACTCTTAAAATGCGTTCTTGTGTTTCTTTAAATAAACTGTACACCACACTGACTGACTGGCTTTTTCTTACATTAGGGGTAATGTAAGACAACTAACAAAAGCTTTCTTTTGTGGGACCATTAAAATTTAAATTAGAAGTACATTTCTGTGTTATGTCTAGCATTTCTATATTCCTTATTCTGTTGAAGCAGCAACTACAGTGTTAGCTGCTAATGGTTTTCAGTTTGTAGATGCCAATTTGACCTTATGTGTAAAGGTTTAATGTAATTACAGTATCTTTCACGGCTTAAGACAATTCTGGGGGAACTGGTGTATTCAGTCCATTTATTTGTTGGTATGATGGTCGTTTTAATGTTTGCTGAAGCTGCCAAAATCCAAAATGTTATTTTATCTTGTCTAACTGTGTGACCACATCATCTATTCGTGAGCAGCCTAAAGGCAGTGTTTGGTGCAAATTAAAGATGACTCTAAATAAACAAAAAATGCTCAAAGTATACACCTGATATAATCATAAATTAAACTCAAGAGAAGGGAAGAACTGAATTTATTTCTTTTTTTAAAGAAACTTTTGATAACTGCTGCAAATCCTTTGAAATAGTTCTGAAATAGAGATGTAATAGGTATCTCTAGCACAGTCAATCACCCCTATTCTTGTCCTTAATCCCCTCCTTTCAGTCATCTGAGGGTCCCCAGTGGTGAGACCAAATGTTCCAAGTGGAGCCTACTAAAATTAACTTAACTTAAAAATGTGTTTCATGGTATTTTAGTATTATAGGGTATTGGTATACAGTGCTTTCACAAACTCCTGGTACAATAGAGGGCAGTTTTGGATGACAAGCATCCACCAAATGTGGGTCAAAGAATTAAGACTTGTTCTTACCTGTACTGTACAACCATCATGTTCTGCTCCCCACAGTGTCTGGCACAGCGGATATACCTCATCCAGCTCGACTTACTGGGATCATTACCATCAATAAAGTGCTGTAACGTCCCCTCTGCGTCATAGATCTGGAACACACAAATACAAAGTGTCAGAACTGAAATTAGTACATGAACTTTTATCCCCAGCACATCTGTTAAAGACAGACTTTTATCTATAAAGGGCAGCAAAATCAGATTGAGCAATTGATGACTAGGGCTGCAACTGCTGCAAAGATTATTTTCATCATCAATGAATGTGCCATTTATTACATCTGATTAAGATTCTTTGTTTGTTTTATGAACATTCAAAATATGGTGAAAAATGCTGTCAGAATTTCCCAGTACCCGAGGTGATGTCCTGTAAGTATGTAGACCTTGGTTCTAATTGCCCCTTGCTACACCGATCATCAGTCCAAAACCCTAATGTATTTCATTTACTTGATGATTATTTGAGAGGCTGTAACCAGCAATCGTTTGGTTTTTATAGTTAAAAAAGACAAACAATTCATCAATTATTGAAATAATCACCAATTTATTTTCTTCCGATTGATTAGACAACTTATTATTTCAGCTTTAGTTGTTACAACATAAATACTCAAGACATCTTGAGCACAACCAACTAGCTGCCAAAAAAACAACCATATGACACTCAGTCATTAGACCACTACACATCTGCTGTTTTTAAACAGATCCTAAACAACAGCAACCTCGCATAAGCACGGTAGGAAAAGGTTTTTATTTATTGCCTGTCTGATTCACCAGCTCACTGCAAGGCCTGTAAATTGTGACTTAACCACTATATTTCTAAGGATATAAATATAGAAAATAATAAGAACAACAGTTAGAAGGACATTTTTCTTTATATTTACTTATTTGGTATCAATTGTAGCTGACCATCATCTTAATAGTGGCATACCCATTACGACACAACATCAACCAGTCAGAAAATAAAGCTCAAATTCTGAATGTTCAGTTTCTCTTTTTATCATGCTTACATTAAATAAAGTGCATTGTTTATACAAAGACTTACAGGTTATTTATTACAGTTTTAACAGATGGACTTGCAGCCTAATGTTACCTGGTGAAGTTCTGTCTGGAAAGGATGCTAACCAGCACTTAGCATGTTAACAACCTGCCAATAAATGGAAAGCCCAGTCAGAAAGCTGCTGTAAGGTTAGCTAGAAGAAGTTTAAATGAGGCTAGAGAAAAAAAACATCCCTTTAACTACTTCAAAGTATTGCATGAGAGTGAACACCAACCTGCTATGAGCAGTAGGAGAGCCACTAAGTTAACGTTACCTTTTTTTACAGCAACACGTTCATTTTAACTGAGCTAAGCTAAAGCTAATTAGCTAAGAATGACATAAGAAGGGGAGTTTTTCAGTAACTGAGATAAACACAATACACGTCTATCTGAGAAGGGAACAGGACAGTACCCACTTTTATGTTGAACTGAAATTATTTTGACAAAACACGGGCTCTTTTGAAGGATACTAACCTGAAGAAAACAGAGGGAAATAAGACCAGCAACATGCATCTAGCAAACCCGTTTCCTTCTGTCGAGACGCGCCATTACGCTTGACAGTTTCACTTAGGGAGGTAACGTTACTGTAATCTTGTGGTGAACACTGATGCACACTACTGGTGCCTAATGTCGGTTTGAAGGCAAAGCACAGAAAGAACAATTTACTCAGCATAAATGTCTTCCTCAAACTTGAACAAGAAAACCGCGGCCAAACACTCGTGTATCACTCCGCCATGCTGAAAATTAACTACATTACGGCAAGTAGTTCCTCCTATCGAAACATTAAAATAAACACACAAGTAAACTGTGCTATGTGTATGTATGTTTTACTTGGCGATGTTTCAGTTCTGTCCTCCAAAACAATAAAAATCAGTTAATCTAAAAAATAAATCTCATCATGCTCTTTTTTCTTTATATTTACTTATTTAGTATCAGTTGTAGCTGACCGTCATGTTAATAGTGGCATTATTTGTGGAAGAGAACTGTTCAGTTCTGTGCATAATTATTACGTTGTACATACCAATTTATGGCATGTCTTTTAAACCTATTGTTATGATGGCTTTTTAATCTGGCCTAGGGCAACAGAAAAAAAGTAATCATCTAAGCCATCTCCTACTTGTTTACAGTTTACATATGTTTTCTGTTAATCAATGATTAGTGTCCCTGTTCAATAAAGCACTAAAATGAAAATAGCTCTAACTGGCAACATTTTTTAAATAGTTTCCACACAACAAAACTGGGGCAAATAGAGTGGGAGTGGGATCAAATATGATTAAGTGTATCCACGTAGTTTAAAGACGGTTAACTAATAAAGAACATAAATGTAAGGAGGATAGAGTGACATTACATCATTGCCGTTTTGCAAGAAGGCAATATTTTAAAATATCAGTGATTTATGTATTGTGGGAAACCCTACAAAAAAAAGTTATTTATGGACAAACTGTGCACCATCCGTGATTTTTTTATTCATTTGCTTTATTTTTGTTGTTGTATTTTTAATCTATGTTGTTGGCTTTGCTTTTTTAGAAAGATTTCAAATGTAATTTCATTCATATAGCTACAGTCTGTTATCTCTTTTCTGATTGTGCTTGGTTTGTCGGACTTCAATATAAAAACAGACACTGGACTTAAAAGCATCAGGACGTATTACCGATCTAAAACAACAGAGGAGAAAACAATCAGATGTTTAAATTAAGAGACAAGCTAACAACTAGAAAGCTGTTAAGTCTCACTTCAACAAATGCTGCTTTTTGCTGAATATACACAACCTTCAGTTAAATAAAAAGTTTGTTCCAGAGTATTTATAACCAAAGATTAGTTTAAGTGATGAACTGTAAAACTGTGGGTAGTACAAGCATATTTATGGTAAAACAAAGTCAAAAATATGTACATTTTAAGATATCCATCACATAATTGTGTGATCATGTTACAGTTTAAGGTCAGGGTCGAGTCCTACACTTGCAGTTTAAACAAAAAGAAATAACTCCAGTTGATTTGAAATGTTTTAAACAAGCCTCAGCAACAAATCATTAGCCTCTTATCCGCAGCTGTGATTATTACAGGCCTGCTGGGTGTTAAACGTTATACAAACCTGATTTACACCTGCTTAAAAGCCTCGCTGCTCCGTCTGCCAACGTCTCAGTCATAAAAACAAGTTTTGAGGTCTAAAAATACTTCTTCAGAGCAACAGGGGAAAATAGCACATGAAACAAGATGCACGAACATGAAACATAAACCAAATAAGTCTCCATTTAAACAAAGGAGCTTTTTTCTTTTGCTGCTCTCGTTACAGGGTAAAAAGGCTGAGCCATCAGCCCAACCAGTGCAACATATGCCAACAAGCAGCGACCAGTCTGCACTGAAACTTTTCTGTGGAACATCATGGTCTGTACTCATGAAATATTCAAATGAATGGTCAAATTGTCATGACAGTATTACTTTTTCTACTGATGACCCCATGACCTCTCTCCTCTAGTGCTACAGTCAGGACAAACTTTACATTTTACCTTATTGCTAACCACATTTCACACCAGACATGAGAAATCAGCAGCATGTAAGCAGTATGAAATCTCATCCAGCTGGAATGAATCCACACTGATTCCAACCTGAAAACCTGCTGACATCAGACGTTTTGTGGACAGAAAGTAGTTCAGTGGGCCATAAGAGGTGTGCAAGAAGAGAAGATGTGAGCCATTTATTTTATTTCCTCGCCCACTGTAGCTAATTGTAAAAATGGATGGATTGGAAAATGGATTTGAACGGTTGCCTGTGGAGAAAACGCTTTACTCAATACACCAGAGAACAAGCAAAAGGTAAAATTCAGAGCTTAAAAACTCCGCAGGGAATTGAGTTGTGTGGATTGCAGACTATCCTCACCAGAAAAACAGGCGTATAGGTGGATTATGCAGCAGTTTATTACGAGCCATATTTTTCTGTTAGGCCGTGACAGGAGAAGAAGTCAAGTACGTAGCGCAAAGAGCGACAAAGTCTGTATAAGGAGGTGCTGGGGAGGATGTGTCAAGTCAACTTTCACTCAGGAGGACAGAGGTTAGGGTCTCACATTTTTGATCCACAGACAAGCTTAAAGAAAGGATCCTATATTTTCCATAATTCTCCATAGCTTCTTTCGTCAAACTCCTCCTGTCTAGTAGTCACTCATATATATTATACGCCTCCAGTTTGTAACACAGACTTTTTATTTGAAATCTGTAGTCTCCATAGTGACCATGTCCTTTTCAGGTCTTCATAGTGAAGAGGAGACAATGTGACTCAGGACTGTTTGGCAACACCTGAAGTAATTTACTATGTTCTTATTATTATTTTGTCATCATGATTGTCCATACTGTAATTATATGGTGTTGGTCTAGTCTGAACACACAACATCTATTGCATGTCTGTCTGTCCTCTTAGAGGGATCCCTCCTCTGCTGCTCTTTCTTCCTTTTCCCCCTGTTAAAAGGGTGGAGTGAGGGGTTTCTCCATCTAAATCTAGTGCAGAGGGTGTTGTATGCTGTACACATTATAAAACCTTTGGAGGCAAATTTGTGAAATCGGGCCTTATAAATAAATTTGGCTTGACTTCGCTAGGCTTATTTTCTCAGACTTGACAAAGATCTTCCAGAGGCGCAGAAGACTTTATATAACTGTTTTCGAAAGGTAAGCATTACTCCTTGTGACCAGTGAACTCAAAATCCTGAAGTGTCGGGTTGGCAGAGTGCCTCTTCAAGAAAATCTCCCCAGAGACTCCGCAGCAAACTCTCAGGGAGACCACCAGGACAGGTGGAAAGAGACAGGAAATGAGGGAGTGAAAGAGGGGACAACATGTAGCAAAGGCAAAAGCCTTGTACGTAGAGTGCGCTCTACCGGCTGAGCTGAACTGTGCCCCGTTTTATTAGTTTCTTTATAGAAAAATTTAAAGGTACCTTAACAATATATTCACTTTTTAGTTAGTAAATACAGTTATTGTGTTATGCTGTAGTTTGATTCTGGTCCTAGTAGCCCCTAGTTTCCATCGCAAACAAAATTTCATTCCCTTTTCTGGAGAAAATCATGTAGATTGTGTTG